CCCCCCCCGGGGGCACTCGTGGGCGAGGAGGGGGGAAGAGGCTGCGGGAGGCCGTGTTTACTCCGCGCAAATGGCACATGCGCCTCCTTTGCAACGCAGACGCGTCTTCCTCTACGTGCCCTCCGCAGCGCCCGATGCCTTCGCTTTGCACGGAAACAGCTGGCCAATTTAACGGCAAATAATTAGCGCTGCATTTTTGTGATATTTGTAATCTTTTTTACAGGGCTTTTATCCAGTCCAGAGCCGATTACCCTTTACGTCCCAACGGGAAGCATATTCGACCACACACTAAACACCAACACACTTGCGGGCTCCTCTAATTTGGGGTCAGTAGAACGCGAGGCCCTCTGTGACAGCGCGGACGTGCGAGACAACCATGCCCAGGGTGGGATTTGAACCACCGGCCGTTCGGACTCGGCGTTGAGTCGGTACATGCTCTTAGCCACCTCGGCCATCCAAGACGGCAGTATTTGTAAGAAGAAGTAAAAATAACAACGCTAAGCTTATGACGATGAAGCTTATGAGGTAAGGTAGAACTGAGTGATCCAACACGCGGAATCCGGGTAGATTTGTTAGAAGAAATACGGCGAAAAGAACAATCGGTCTCTCGAATTTTCATTCCACCAGCATTGCTCATAAGAAATACCCGACCCTTTCGGAATTCGATAAGGGCACTTCTCCAACTACGGCAACCAAAACTAACACTTTTTACGGATTTTAACGAAACATATCAAGTGAGACGCTGCATAGTGCGTGTTGAACACGTAGTCACGTGCGCTGAGCAGCAGCAGTGTCGGATCGTGCGTGCCTCGAGGAAGCAGTCGCTGACGTTTGACCGATGACGGAGGAGAGTGCAAGGCGAGCCGGGGGCGGCCCTGCGCTGCCCTTCCCCTCCTTTCCCTTCGGCGGGGGCGGGGCTGCGGTGGACGCGGGGCGCAGAGGTGGCCGGGGGCGGAGGGGTCGCGGCGGCGTGCGGCTTCCGTGTCGCTCGAGGAGAACAAAAGCGAGAGTGTCTTGCGCGCGCAAGGAAGGACCGAGCGAACGACGAGACGGCCCAACTCCAAATGTCAACATCCGCCCCGAGCGGCAAAGGGCAACATCCTTCGCCTCACCGCCTACCCTTTCACACGAATGCCGAAATCATTTCGGCCTTCTGACCATGACTGTTTTGCAGTGCGACTCACGAAAAAGATGAATAATTCTTCGTAATAGAATACTATAGAAGAATTCGAAAATGGGAAAGTAGTGTAAGGAAGACATAATAACACGTGCGACTTCATTTTCACCTGTCTTTCCTTACAGGCATGTATTGCATAAGTCACAGTATCATCAACGTTTAGAAACTTTTGAGAGGCACAATAAACATTTGAGTGTCTACGTTCATTTTATGTTTATTTATTTAGTTCGTCAAATACAGGTAAAGAAATGTGCTTGACAAACTATCGAGAAGTTCGGATGTGCAATTTTTGCACGATTTATTGAGCTCTGGAATGTTTAATTCAACTCATAAACATAATAAGTTGAATTATGAATACAGGTAGCAACGAGCATTTTTTACCAAGATTTGGTAGGGAAATATTCATATGAAATAAAACACGTTCATGTGTAATAAAATACTATTTTCATTGGCAAGTCAGATACAGATTGTGGTTATTATCTCTTATCATGCCCTTTCATAACGGAATCGATTACTGCCACAAGGACATGGAGAATAATTATTTGAATAGCTACACTGAGCTTACAAAAACGCGTACAGATAGGAAAGATACATGTATTGTCTTGTATTATTGTCATTTATCATTCAGTAAGTTTTTTTCTGTATAAAATGACATTTGGAGTACTAATAGAAGCTACGGACAATGGTGTATAATAAGGTTTATAGGTTGAAGTAGGGTGATAAGGTATTGAAAGTGCACTAGTTTTCTTAAGTCACTCCCACGTCAGACACTTGTCATGTTCACTGTCTCCGCGAAGTGAATAATCCACCCACTTATTGAAACATGAGTGAGAGGAATAATTAACACTCTAATCCGCGAACAGATACTCGCATCCCATTAGCACGAGCAGCCTGCTGTTCCGACTAGAAAAGCAAGGGAACGGTTATAACATGCAATTCCACAAAGTCCTCTTTGCCACTGAATTTCTCGTTAATGAAGTGGGTTAATATTTTTAGCAACTTGTTTATTCGCTGATTGTGATACGCCGAGAACAAAAACCTGCGACACACGTTCGCTGCCACACCTGTTACCGTCGGGCATAACTTGAAAATGAAGCATTGTGTCCTTGAAACAATGTCTTCGTATTCCTGAAGGGACAAGAGATATCCCTATGGCGAAATCAACAAAAAGAGACATTCTTGGAAAATTACCACGTTTTCTAAGGGCGCCCCCACTTCGGGGCACCGTGAAGCCAATTCGCTGTCAAAAGAACCGTTTACAACGCGCGGATCGGTCAAGGGGTTTACAGGAACGCGAGCGAAGCGCGGTGGCGCGCGGGTTACTCACGAGCAGCGGCGCGAGCAGCGGGCGGAGCAATCGCGGAGCGCGAGGCGGCGGCGGCAGGCGGCGCGACCGGGGCGCCCCCGGCGGGGCGACTGCCGGGCGCCGCGACGCCTCGCCTCGCCTCCGCCTCCCCCCACTGGCGACGCAGCACCGCGCTCCTTCCGCTCTCCACGTGCCGAGTCCTACGCTGCTCCCACTAGCCTGTTGCGTTACGAGTCTTGGAGTTTGGGACGTCAGAAATATCGGTCGTCCAATCAATTTGCCCGGCCCACGATTTGTCCCCTTCCCTTATATTCCGTTTCCAACAACTTTCCTTCAATTTCGTATTGTCACATTGGAAACCTCAGCCTCGTTCAACGTTTCCAGCGGCCTATCTATAGATCCCTTTGTGTCTTCATCCGTTAATTATCATCAACAACGTTCTAAGGATTTCTATTCTCTTAACGTCTCTTTATGTCCCTGAGCATCTTTCTCTCTCTCTTTCCTCCCCCTCCTCCTCAGCGTACCTCTTCTAGGGCCAACCTTCCATGTCCCTAGTTATTGTCCAATGCACATTGACTGAAGACCAATTTCATGCGCAACGTGCATGCTTGCACATTTTGAAGTGCCTCAATGCAGACTTTTGAAGATGTTATTTCTACCCAATTATACTATGAGAGAGGTGAGTGTTAAACTTAGACAATTAGACGAGATCATCCTGCAGATGTGGTGGCTCCGCGAAGTCGGCTGTGCGAATGGGCGCGAGGTGGGCTTGGGAGCGAGAGGGCTGGGTTCATACCCGGCCGTCGGCCACCGCCGCCGCTGTCCTGTCCACGCGTTGGGCAACGGCCTGTCGGCCCACCCGTCCCCGGTCTTATGCAAATCGTGCGCCTGCCCCCCTCTGACCGGCGGTGTGGGTTGGGCGGCCCACAGTGTTCGGCCCGCCTCTGCTCCAGGGCCCAGGCTTCACGGAGTCGGCTATTTTTATTGCATGTTGAAATAAGGTCACACAAATAAAATCATAGGATGTAAAATTGAAATAAAACGTAAAAATAAAAGTAAGTGAACATGTAAGCGAAGACATCTTGAAATCTTATCTCCCCCAAAAAGAAATGTATTCGAAGTATTATGAATGTTTATCTAGCTTTCAAATATATTTACGCAAACAATTTGTGAGGGCCTAAAAATGTTAATGGCTCTTACAGTTTAAAAAATACTAAGATGTGTTGTAGGTGCACCAGCAAATTACACATTCAGAAATTATCATTTTGAAGGAGAACGATTTTTTTCTCAGCGGAGATGTTTATTTGACGCCAAAAGGCGTGTTTTGATGTTGGAGCGAGGTAGTTTTCTCCACATTCAGACTGCCTTGTGAACTTCATTCAATTCTACACTAGTGAAACTACATTGTGTTCTAAGCACATTTCTTTACCTAACTCGTCAATAACGAATTTTTATATATCACTTTTCTTGTGCACTGACGATATGTGCGAATACCAATATGTTAGTCGATTTGTATATATTTTCCTAGGTGTGTACGTATTTCACACTTCCTACGTTGTTGCATAATCTTTTTCTTGCAGATCTTCGTAATAAAGTGTAATTTCGACGATAATCGTCTATAACTGAAATTAGTCATCTATATATTTTTTCTGTAGTTTTATATTCTCTTTCCCTTTGATTTTTAACTGAGCAATTACGGTAAACAGTATCATGCGTGGTTAAAATACTCGAGAACAGAAACTATTCTTTTTCTTTTTGAGAAAATATATTTTGATTATTCATGTAATAGGGTGTGTTTATAATATAATATACTTTAATTAATATACTTTAAAATATTATTAATGTAATATAACATATAATATAATGTATTATTATATAATACGTTGTTCATTTCACATTGCAGTTTAGCACATAGCACACAATTCCTTCAACATATTAACATATTTCTCATCAAATTGTACGACTTGACTTTCTCTATCTCTATTGACGTTTTCAGAAACTTGAATCTGTAAACATTTGCGTTCTGCATCAACGCGAAATCTCGTTTCCTAGTAGCAGGTGGTTGTAATTGCGAGTTTGGCGTTTGTTGAAAGCTGTCCGCACGCGAGCAAATGGCCATTATTGCTCCCTCAGCTCTGCGACCTTCACCCGCGAGAGCGAAGGAACCCAGTGGCCTGAGGCTGTAAGCGAATCTGGCCAGGTTACAAGAGTGATTCGGTGGAGGTTACATAACGGTATCTAATTGTCTCGACGTTTAAGAACCAATATGACAATTTATAAATAGTTCATGGGGAATGAAATTGTTTATAGTGAAATAGTTTAAGAACCACAATGCAAATGATTGAAGACTTCTAACGATAGAGAGAGATTGAAATTATTTTTAGAGAATTTCTTGAAATTATTAAGTTTAATATTAAAATGTGCTCAGAATAACAAATTATGAATTTCTCGTTTATGGAGTAATCGATTTTACTACTTGGGCGACGGTAATACCATTGGCAATTTACTGGGGTAGACGCAGGCAGTGTTTCCAATTTTCATAAATTGCCAGCGAGCATGAGATTTCCAATTTTCACTTTGCATGACATTATGATAAATTAGAAATGAACATTCATGCACACTTTTAATAATTCAGAATGCACCAATATTTATTTTAAATAATAATTTAAACAAGCTTGTTAGAAAAGATGTACATGAGACTCCGTATACGAGTGTAAAACTTTTCCTTTAACTAATATATTACCGCGAATATATTTTGCCTTGTTCATTATGAAATATAAGTCCGCCTAACCACTGAATTTACACACACACACACACACACACACACACACACACACACACACACCGAAAAGTAACATTTTAAGAGGGGAGGACAAGCTGTACATTTACGTCTGGGAGAACAAATCTAGGGACCATCCCGGCAAACGCCTTAAGCGATTGAGTAATCCCAGAAAACATCAATCAGGATGGCGGCTTAAATATTTGGATAAAACAATTAAAGAAGTCTCATTAAAAGGAATACATTTTTCTTATAAGATAGTTTCGGGTAGACAATATTACAGAAATCATAGCCAGATCTTTCCATATTTCTTAGAAGTTTAATAATTACAATTTAAATAATATTGTAGTCGCGATTATTAAATTGAAAAACGTTTTGTTTGTACATTCTTATAAACATTTTGAAAATGGTCATTCATTTCACTTTTATTCGCGTTTTCGCGTTCATGTAAAATAAAGATTGTAGGGAAATTACTGGACTTGAATTACGTGAAATACAATAGAACACAACATAATATTATATTTTCAATCTCTAGACCATTACTTCAGAGTAGTTCTTTTCCTTTTTAAATGCTCTCTCTCAGTAAATGATTATTCAACCAACTGCTTCAGATGGAATAATTAAATTAAAGAAAAACGTTGGTTCATGCATTTTTCAGAAATATTGAAGAGAACTACGTGTTGAGTTTCATGGTTAAATGTCTTGCAAGTAACTATTATTGTTTTAATAATCGAAAGTAAAACTTCTATTAAACGAATTACGCTATTCGAGCTATTAAGTTAAATAAATCAAATTAGACATTTCGTAATCTTGTAGGAGCTGTGATTCTGTCACAATTGTTTTGCATATGCGGGCTCTATTGTACCCCCTAACACCGTTCGATTTATATATACAAACTGTAACGAGAGAGTAAAAGCGCGCGTGTGCAGCGCCGCTTGCCCACCCCGGTCTCCCTTTCGCGCTCAGCGGCCGCGGAGCGAAAGCAGCGGAACGCGTCTCGGGCAGAGCGGCCGACCCGCGAAGCGACCCTCGCAGAAGGAAGGGGAATGCCTCGACGCGGTGATCCACAGGGCTGAGCAGCACCGCCAGGCTCCACCATCGGAAGGGGAGCCAAGTAGCTGTAACGTTGGCAACAGTTGTGGGCTGTGTCAAACGAATAGGTCATGTGCTAGTTGTCATTGTCGCAACGTGTCACTTTCGTATGCTATTGCGCCGCGACTGATCTTATCGTATCGTATCGAATCGTGTAGTATCGTATCCATCGCACTGAATCGAGTCGTGTTGAGATTGTCGGCTGAGTGTGTTTCATCGTGTTGGCATCCTCTTCGGCGCACGTTTTAGAACAAAAAAACAACAACACACAAAGAAGCGTGCCGCAAGCTCTGACTGCGCCTCCGGACTAATAAAAACAGAAGTAAAGCGGGCGGTCGCGTTGTGGTCTCCCTCGCGCTCGCGTCTCGCGTTCCTTGTCGCCCGATCGCGTCTCGCGTTCCTTGCCGCGACCTCGTCTGTTATTCGGTAGACGCACTGCACACGTGCAAGCAAATCACAATACTTTGATATGCAGCTGGTACCGCACCCAAGTGCCCTTTTCAGCCAACTATAAAGACGTACATTTCGATTTTGGAGAAACGATACTATCCATATCGAACCATTCGACGATGTGTTTACAATAAACAAAATGACAAGAATTTCCGAGCGGTTTTGGGGGAGAGCGAGCACCCAGGCCTTCAGCCCGGGCGCTTGGACGGAGGCGTCCGCTCCAAACAAAGGACGCAGCGCGCGCTTTCTTTCCCCGCGCGGCCGAGTGGCGGAAGAGCGCGCTCCCTTCGTGCGCACTGGGTGCCGCGGCGGCAGCAGGCCCTCGTGCGGCGGGGAGGGGCGCTCAGACGGACCGCAAGAAGCGCGCCTTCACTTTCAGCTCGCGCAGCCACCACTCGCTGCGGCGCGCGGGGCGCGGGGCGGCGGCGGCGGCGGCGGCGGCGGCAAACGGGACGACCTCGCCGCGAGCGGCTCGGCGGCGGCACAGACTGCAGTGGCGGCGGTGACGGTGATGGCGGCGGAGGCGCCGGGGATTAAAGAGGAGACAGAATTTGTACCCGTTACCGAAATTATGGTGGGGAGATCGCGTATGACCTTACTGCACTGAGCCGCCGTTAACAAGGAAAGTCGGAAGAACTGACAAATTCTCTCTGTGGATAACTCGCAGGCTGATAGTGAAAGGACGTGGAAGCACAAGAGAGCCATATGGTAGTCCTCATGGTGAAGGATTTTTCACCGTAGCTACTTGTCTGTGATGGACGATGGTGGGTGGTCTGGGTCTGCTCTGATCTCTCCGGTCTCGTCGGCGTCCGTCAACTGCCAACTAAATAAACTGAACATCTCTGAATAAACTCTTGAAACCAGTGAAGTGAATGGCTTTACATTTCGTGAGAGCTTTCATGGTGATTTTAACAACAAAAAATAATGTTGGATGCAAAGAACGCAAATGCATCGAGGGACTGTGCTGGGGGTAAGATATATTGAAGTTGAAGATGTTTATCAAAGCGATTGTGATTCGTTGAGCCGATAGACAAGAAATGCAACGAGAATGTTTAAAAGATATTGCGGTAATGGGTTCTCAAGTAATGAGCATGGAATGGAATGCGTTATGAAGTAGCTGATACATTACCCTGCCTTTCAACTTTCCAAATTTACGCGGTTATCTGTAATTTATGAGTTAGATATTGGTAGGGACAATGAAGCTTGTGTGATGACGAAGATAACAGTAAAAAATGCGTGGGAAAGTGTGGAAAATAATAATTTTGCAGGACAAACGGGCAAACTGTCAACCTACGCACTATATTGTGTACATTTTCTTCATGTGGGTAACGCTAGGCAGTGAAACGTGTTGGGTGCAAGCATCAGGGGTGCCGTCAAGCGGCATGAATGCAAAGCAACCAGAGCAGAGAATGACTTAACGTTGGCGTGATGAGCATGACTGAATCACTTCATATAGAAAATGCTAAAATTCTTTGTTTTCACGTGCTTTTAAGTGCTACTATTGCAACTCTCTTATTTTGTTGCAATTCATTAATAATTCATCGTTTTAATTTACTATAATTAATATCTAACCAAGTATATATTTCAAAACGGGCACATGATGCTATGACGGTAATAATGTAAGGTGGGTGAAGTGTTTATGATTTTTATTTCCTAAGACGATGTAATTATAATCACATTGCAAAATTATATTTCTGCTGACATTTTTTTGCCATTACAGACATCTCCAGATGTTAATTTATCTGCGATGCAACCGCCACAGTGATACACTGAAACGCGACTAAAGAAGGTCCATCCAAGTTCTTCAATGCGACTAAGCCGCCATCAATTTAAGGATAGATAACGCGACGTAAAGTAAATCAATATTTATACCTGGTTAACAAGTATCAGGTATAAAGCAATAGCAAAATAACTTGAGAGGCAGCAGTTGGAAACAAATTGCATCCGAGTCCTTCCAACGCATTAACAGAGGACGACCGCTTTGGGTGAGAGGTGCCTTCTCCAATCATCTGAACTCTGGGTGATTTATTGGATCGTTCGAAGCCTGCAGAGGTGCGTGATAAATAAAGGCAATTGGGTCACTTTCGTGAGAAGGCACTACGACTAGCAATCGATCGGTCATGTATAATGGCGACCATGGTTCTGCGTAATTGCACGAGGAGTGTAACAAATTGGCTTTGAAGTCGAGTTTTTTGTTATTTTACGTCGCCATCTGGGAAGCATCGTGTTTAAGACATAATTTATGGGACACACTTTGCATAAGGAAAGATGTTGGACTTGTGACCTTTTCTGGCCAGTAATGAGATTATATTTACAAGTGCCGTTTATTTGAAATCTCTCGCATTACTTTTCTCCTTTTTGAGTAATTTATGTAATGAGAATAACAGAAGTGGCTAAGTTAGTATTCACGTTAAAACTTTATTTTGCTGTCTTCCTGACGGCTTGCATTTGTCGCCAGCAAATATATAGTATTCTGTGAATTGCTCTTGAAATGAATTGATGATATTCTCTGGTCATCAGTAATAAAATAACACATTTTTATTACTCAAGTAATACAAGTGCATGACGTGGCCAAAACCTTTACAATACTGATACATTTTACTGTAAATGAGTTTAATTTAAGTTTCATCCTAATTAGCAATTGTTTGTTATTTGCAGTGTTAAAGATACGTTGGAACGATGGAGTGACAATCATTGAAGTTCTTTCACATCGATGTGAACACACGCGCTTGAGCGGTGAACCAGTCAACGTTCCCTCTCTTTGTGTCTTTACGGCGGGAGCGATCGGCTGTCATTGCCGTCCGCACGCAGTGGCTCAGACCCATTTGCAAGAGCTCGCGGCGGAATAGGGTAAGTGGGCGAGTAATTCGCGCTTATCCAGATCGCGGGTTCTGCATTTGAGGGAAATTACGAAGCCGGAGCCTGTCGCCCTTGAACCAGGCGTTTATGGTTGACTTTCTGGCGAGGGGGGGGGGGCGAGCGCCCTGAGCACTCCAACCGTGCTGCAGACGCCGACCCCTTCGACTTCAGCAAGAATATAGACTGTTTTGTAGTTTCTTCACTTCGTGTTCAAACTTCATGTGTTGGAACTTGTATTAGTTTGGTACGTTAAATATAGCTGTTACCTTCAAGACGTTTCTTACCTTCAAAAAGTTGTGTTACTGCGCCCCCGGGCGGTTGGTGGGCGTTTGAGGCCACCTGAGTGGGTGGGTGTGCAGAGGAGTGCGTTCGTGACGGCGGCGCGGCGAAAGCCAGAAAGCACGCGGCGCGGTAGTGCAATGGCGTCGTCGGAGGGAGCAACGTGCTAAATATGGAGTGCGCGAGTTATCAGGAGGCCGCGAGGTGCGTCCGCAGCAGGCCTTGCACGGGAGGACGAGCAGCGACGACGGTCTGCCCTCTCGCTCTCGCTTCGAACCGGCGTAGGTGGCTCAGGGCACCGCTTGGCGCGGCAGCGCCCCTGGCCGGGGTTCCACTCCCGACGGCGGCAGGAGTTTCCACACTAGCCACATAGCGAGGTCGAGTGCAGCGCTAGGGGGAGAATCCTAGCGGCCGACTGCTCTGACCGGTAGTTTTCCGTTCCGGTAGGTTGGCGTCCGTTTTGTTTCATCTGCAGTATTTATATCACTGCATTTTGAGTTTTAAAAAAGTGATTATTCTCCTATTCACAAGTTTTTATTGGTGTCTTTTTCACTTTCCTTCAATAGAACGTGTGGAATTAGCTATAAGCTTTTGTTATATCATGGAATCATTATAAACTATCTTCTTTTGCATCACGTTATTTTTGTGATTAGTAGTATGGAACACGAAATTCCACCAATATGTAGAACTTAACGATGACTATTATTTGATTTCTTTCGCTCTTGCTCAATCATATTTAGTGTCCATTCCTACTCTGTGACCAATTTCGGGGGTTTAACGTTTGTTACTTCTCGCTGTGATTTTAACGTCAATATCAAAAACAATATTGTTCATTGGTGCTCTATAAATCCCAGGAATTTGAAATTCTAAGGGAAAGCAATAATAAAACAATAGAGAAAATAATCCTCAGAATATCCTTACAGTCCATACTGTTGCAAATAAATTACTCTATAATTTAATGGACTATTTGTGTCATTATAAGCCTAAGATATTACAAAACAATGTGATCTAGATGAATTACAGCTTATTTGGTAATTTTGGTATTGGTTTTTTTGGTTTTATCGCTCTAATAACACTCAGCAGTAAATTATATATTCTTCCCTTTGTCAATTGAATACATGTATAACCATATGAGAAAACACTTA